TTCATTTAATATAATATGGTTAACAAATAATAAATATTAAAACCAACGCCTAATAGTCAAACGCGCGCAAATTTGAATGGACGAACCACGCCTTGCCACGATGCCTTCTTCTTCACACGCCCTGTAAAACAAAACAAATGAGCAACGGTTTTGCAACCGTGGTGTTAGGCAGGCTTTCAAAAAATAGCGATTAGGTCCCTGTAGCTCATAAATTTGTCGCGAGCATATCTTCTTCTTCGTCTCAAAATGCTGAGTTCAACCATGGTCTTCAGGAACCTTAATTTTTCCTCTATACAAAATCCCTAATTTAAGAAAACTGTAACCCTAGGATTCGAAAATGGTGGATTAGCGTATGATTAACAAAAATGAAATTAAACACCATGAATAGTTTGGAAACTTGGTAAGGAACATGAATATGTAATTAAAATGCAATGATCATGCTTAGAATTGAGAATACGATTTCAAAGAATTTTCTGTACAGTTTGAGTTGTTGTTACTGCTCCTTCGCGTTTTGATTGAGGTTAGGGGTTGGAGTGCCTTCAGGAATGTCTAAGGATGCTTATGGAACAAAAATTAAGGTTTGAAAGATTGTCTAGCACTGATTTCAGATTTGTGTTTTTGTCCAAAATTTTCAATCTCTCAATGCTTGTTTGGGCGCAGCTTATAATGTCTTAGGCCTAGGGTTTGACTCAGTGATGATCATGGAATGGAATTGGCTTGCTAACTCACCTTAATTCATGCTTGGGAAAGAATAAGTCCTAGGGTTTTCATCCTTAACCATTTTCCTCCTTTTTAGCCAAAACCTAGACCTAGTGTGCAAATGAACCCTAGCCTGATTTCTTGAGTTGGTTCATGATACATAAAAATTGTCCAAGTTCACATGACACTATTCCATTGGTTTTTAAATTTTATTTGAATTTTCAAAGATTAAAAATGAATTAAATCATCAAAAATTAAATAAAATAAAAAAATCAATATTTGGTCTTGAAATTAACCATGGGACACGTGTGTGGAATGACAAGGATGAACCAAGTGGAAAAAATGGGGCCCTTTTGTCAAAAATTGGATTTTCAATGATAGTTGACTTTTTCCATTTCACAAAAATTTCCCAACTTCTACAAGGCACAACTTGCTCAATTTTTAAGCTTTTCACATGTTCTTGGACATTTTGGAAAGGTCTTTGAGTCCTTTAACCAATGCCTTTGGTCCCATGTCATTTTGATTTACCAATCTCAAGTTATGGCCTTTGACTTAAAGTCCCTTTTTGTTGACTTTTGAAAATGACCTATAATGTTGAAATTGATAACTTTTTGTGAGAGCATTTCTTGGACTTGAAGTATGAAGATGAGTTGTAGGAACTGTCTTTCTCTTCAAAATGAGCTTTGGATGGAATTTTTCTGATAATCCATGTGAAAGTTATACCCTGGTCAATTTCAGTTGACTTTTTTAGCTGTCCAAATATAGCAACTTTTGCATCTTTGATGATTTCTGAGCCAAATTTTGAGAATCATGATCAAGCATTGATCAAATGATGTTTGTGGCTTCAAAATGATATGTTGACCAAAAATTTGAACTTTTGACTGCCAAATGACCATTTTGCCCCTACAGTTGACTGTAGTGCAATTTAGGGTTTTGACTGTGCAATCTTGAGCTGAATGCCTTGAAACTTGATATGAGGATGCTTGACCATGTTTGTAAGCATATGAGACTTGATTGAGCCTTTGAAAACTTCCTTTTCTTGATCAGACTCAAAACCCTAGTTTTGACTGTATGGGAGACTGTTGCACTGCACAACCCTTGGGGAATTTTCTAGCTTGGCTTGGCAATTTCTTGAGGAATATGGGAGGGCAAATTTTGGGGTATAACAGTGTGTATCTGAGCATTTTGCAAAATGATCACATTTACCAAAATCAGTAAACAGGAATTCAGATGTCATAACAAATGTTAAGACATCCTGTTCTGAACTAACAGGTATGCAGTTTGGTTAATTCTGAGTTTTTTCAGGAAAATGACTCAGTCTTTCCAGAACAGAATCCTGCGTTTTCTTTGGGTTAACCTAGCTCAACCCCAACCTGGTTGATCTAGTCATGTGACCTAGTCTTAAGATCAAACAGATTTAACCCTAGCTTTTTGTGGAAACCCTAACTGAAGATGCAGCTGCTATATATTCAACAGAGCTGCTGTCTTGGAATGCATCCCTTTTTGACAGAAGATCATTTAGAAGCTGTATAGTTTTAACTATTGTAATCCAAGCAATTATCATCGTGATAAGTGACTTGGAATAGGTTTTAATTGTAAGGGTTGTGTATCACTCAAAGCTTTGAAGCAAGAGTGTTTGTATGTCTCTTGACTAAAGCTGTGAAGCAAAGTCAAGTCAGGTCTGTGTATCACTCAAAGCTGTGAAGCAAGAGTGTTTGTGTTGCTTGATTAAAAAGCTGTGAAGCATAATCAAGTGTATGTTTTGAAGAGTGTCTTCATCAATTCATTAGTCAAATTGTTTTATGTATCACTGCTGTGATTGAGGGGGAGTGAGTAGGAACTCAGGTTTAAGTTGTACTTAGATTGAAGTTGCATTGGGTAGGTCTTAAGTGAAGGAGATAAACTGGTTGGTTTATTCCTGAATTAATATCTCTTATAGTGGATTTCCTCCCTGGCTTGGTAGCCCCCAGAGTAGGTGTTGTTGCACACTGAACTGGGTAAACAATTGACTGTGTTCTTTACTGTTTTTTGTATTTACTGTCTTATAGAAAGTCAGATACGGTGTCATAACATTGAACGTGACATTGAGTATCTGCAGCCAGAATTTCAAAAATCATCCTTGTTACTTAACAATCACCCTCAGAAATGTCAGGGATTTACACTCTACTCATATATCAACAATCGTTACGTAGCTCCTCATCCTTCGAGAAGTATACATTAATATTGTCTGATCGTCCTCCCTCAAGACGCTCCAACTTGATTAACAAAAAAATCTTGGATCCATGTCACATTCGGATTCAGGAAACAACAAAACTTGAATAATATTTGCATCGTCGCCAACAGCAGCATACTGAACCAACCTCTTACAACCGAAACACATCCGAGAAGCAAAGCTTATCCCCTACTTATCTTCAACCCAACTCCTGCATACAACTAGATTAGAAAAACAACAAGCACCGACAGTGTTTCACACACTTGTCACGCGCTAAGGAACAAACAACATTAGACAACTTGGTTGGACGAACCGACCCGCTCTGATATCACTAATGTAACACCTCATTTCTACCCGTCAGATAATAATAAAATCAGAGTTCAACATAAATAGGATGCTATATTTTCAACATAAAATCAAACTTCATTTAATCGCATATAAAACAGATACATAACACTTAATCCGGATGAATCGATAACAACCTCGTTTATTCTTTAAAATCAAACAACTTTTTATTGATAAGCAGCGAAATCTACATACTCAACTTCAATTCCCTTAACATCTTTTATTAAACTAAAACAACATCAAGACAACAATTATTTCATGTAATCAACTTAAAAATTCAGCAACTGAAATAATAATCAACAACTAAACATCAAGCGTTCATCCCTCCGAGTGCTACGTATTAGAGCGACAACACCGACTCGAACTAACGAATGTAACAACTATTCTTCTTGATTACCTGCACGTTACCAATAGAGGGCAATATTCAAACAGAAGGGGTGATATATCAGACAATATAATAAGTCGTATGATAAATAATATATTAGATTAGATCACATGAAATCACCACTTCACAACTTGCAAGCAACTTTAATCACAACAAAACATCAACATGACATAACTACTAATTCACAGCTTTTAGATAATACTCATCACAACAAGTCAGCAATGTAAAGCAACAATAAATATATCATCACCACAACTCAAGATGCAACATCAACTGCGACTCAATTACAATGCACATGCATGTGGTACCATTGGAGCAGAACTCCCATCTTAAAAATCTGCCAATAGAGGCATCAACAAGGCATAAGCCTTCTTCGCAGTTTGCCAATCCAGGCCATCACAGAGTATGCAAATATATGTGACTCAATAAATCCACTATCACATACTCACAACAATCATCATATATCGCAAGGCATAAACCCACATCACCATTATTACCAGTAAATAGAGGTAATTCATCATCATCTAAAATTCTCTGCAACTTCACATTATCAACAAGAATTCACAGAGACAATCACAATAACATAACATCTCAACATTAGCCATAAACCTACAACTTTATATTACCAATAAATAGACGCAACATAACAACAACAACAAAATTAAAAATTGGATATATAAAATCCCTAAACTCTTTGGCCAGGTTCATCTTTGTAAGTTTGAATCTTTGATTCAAATAGACTCTTTGGCCAAGTGCTTCTAATTATGCGTAATATATAATTTGACACAAAAAGTTGTTCAAAGTAAAATCTAAAACTACAATAGATCCATGAAAACAATTACGAATTAATCAAAGGAGCATAAAACCCTAAAAATTATGAAGAAAAAAATGACTGAAATTTGTGAAATTTGAAATTTAACTAAGAAAACAAGATAAGAAATTTGAAAATAAGAAATTTGAAATTTAAAAATAGAGAATAAGAAATATTATTTATAATTCAATACGAAACGAAATAAAAAAGATAGTGATGAAGAATCTTCCATTTTAAAAAATGAGGGGTGGAAAGAAAACAACAGATTTTTTAATTTAATCCTTTCTGAAAATGAATGAAAAGATAATGTTTTTTTAATTAAAATAAATTAAAAATTGGATAAATATACAATTATAAAATGATATGAGAAAAAAATTAAAAATTACAAATAAGTGATGAGATGAGGAATGATATAATTAATTAAATAAGTGATGACATGAGAATGATATAATTAATTATATAAGTAATGAGCAGGTGGGTAAAGTTAGGCAACAATGTTTATCAGATCCATTGCATAATAATAATATTCCTTGACAGCAAAAATCGGTATGGCTACTTCACTTCCGCTTCAAGACAGAGTGGCAATCGTGACCGGCTCATCCCGCGGGATCGGCAAAGAGATCGCACTTCATCTAGCTTCACTCGGCGCCAGACTAGTCATCAACTACACCTCCAACTCAGACCTCGCTGACTCAGTCGCTGCTCAGATCAACGCAAACCAAACCACTCAAAGAGCCATAACCGTCCGTGCTGACGTATCAGATCCAGACGGCGTTAAGTCTCTCTTCGACTCCGCTGAAGGAGCCTTCAACTCGCCTGTTCACATTCTGGTCAACTCAGCCGGCGTCGCCGACGTACAGTTACCAAGCATAGCAAACACAACAGATGAATCCTTCAATCGCGTCATGAACGTGAACGCAAAAGGAGCGTTTCTCTGTGCGAGAGAAGCGGCGAACAGGCTAAAACGCGGCGGCGGAGGGAGGATCATACTTCTGACGACGTCATTAGCAGCGGTTTTCAAGCCTGGTTACGGCGCGTACACGGCATCAAAGGCGGCGGTGGAAGCGATGACAAAGATTCTAGCGAAGGAGTTGAAGGGGACGGGGATCACCGCGAATTGCGTGGCGCCAGGACCTGTTGCGACGGAGTTGTTCTTAGAAGGGAAGACGGAGGAGACGGTGAAGATGATTGCGGAAGGTAATCCTTTTGGTAGAATTGGTGAGACTGAAGATATTTCCCCTGTTGTTGGATTTTTAGCCACTGATTCTGCTGAATGGGTCAATGGTCAAATTGTTCGTGTCAATGGTGGCTATATTTAGTTTCTTTGTTTAGTTCTTCCACGAGTTTGGGTAGCTTGTTATATGAATAAATAGGTCAAGACGATTTCAAAGTCCTTGGTTTAACATATTTCTTTTGGCTAGAACAACTCATTCGTCTTTAAACTTGGTTGAGTTTTCAACCTTGTGTTTTTAGAGGTCATACTCTTTTTTTTACAGCTTTATGAGTATATAAAGAATCAAGTTTTTTTCATAATGCAGTAAACACTGTACCTAAAAGAAAACCTCAGCACCAATGAAAACCGCTCTAAACAAATAAATGAAAAATAACATAGCGATTTCTCAAGTCACATGTTCCAATACACCACAAATCAAGAAATCACTAGTAATTAGACTAAAAAGATCATATTAACTTATAAGCTGCATAAGTTGCAGCTGAGTCTCTAAACCAGGTCATATAGCGTATCATCTACAAAGTATTATTTATAGGAATCTTGTTTTGAAATTCAGGAATCTTAAAAGTATTATTTATAGAATCATAAACAACCAACCTATAATTCCACTCCTTCAAAAACTCCATCAACACTTTGCATGAAAATCAGAATCACAAGCAGCATCTACCACCCAATTAACAGAGTCATTCACAAATATTCCGGGTTTAGGAACGAGGTAACAATTCTTCTCCAATAATCTGTACCCAAAGTATGAATGTAGACTTCTATTTTGTTACTCCTCATCTCATGGATAGCAATAATCTTATAAATATTGGTGAAACGATCATACAAAAGAACAAAACAATCAGCCATCAGTTCTATACTAATGCATAAGATGCCGTCACAAGCGGAAGTTTCCATATAACAGTCTCCTTTAATCTCTTTTAGAGGGTACCTGAACTGTGTAGGGGCTGCGGAGCTGAAGATAGAGGAGATCGGGGAATGACATAGAACAAGCTCAGGTGAGTCGTCCGCCGAGTTCATGACGAGATGGTAGCGGTCGTGGCATGAGGTTGAGAAGCGGAGGTGCTTCTTGGCCAAGTTAGAATCATGGGAGATAAGAGAATTCCATGACTTGCAGACGCAACATAGTTGAATAAGGTGTTTCACGGAGAGCCTACACAGTATTTCTGCCACCAGATCAAATGAAACATGCAGTGATGTTAGGGTTTGTTGAGGTTGTTTCCTCTCTGGAAGTGGCGGCGTTTCGGCCGCATCCATTGCTACTGGCCGCCGTATCAAAAGGAGAAGGTCAGCGACTGAGTTTATGAGTATTACATAACTTTTTTATAAACACTAGTAACAAACCCGTGCTATCGCACGGGTCTCGTCTGGATTCACATTACATTTATAGATTATTAAATTATTAAGTATGTTACCATGTTTTCAGTTGAGTATATGTCTCATGTAAACCATGTTGGCATTTAACTCCATATTTGTAGCAAGCGTCGGTCCTATCAACAAATCACGTCTGCATGAACAAATAGGAAAAATTATATACTTCTTGAAATACATGGAAAATGTACATACTATATATTTTAATTCAAAATAGATTTTTAATTTGAATCGTAAAGTATAAGATATAAAGTTTACCAACTATCAAAGTGCTTGAAAGACTTCCTTGTACACAACATTAGTAGTAGTAGAACACGGTACATTCTCCTTGTCATGAATTAGGATTTTTAGCCCACTTTTGCTCTTAACTCTTGAAATTGCAACATATAATTGACTATGACTAAACACAGGAGTAGGCAAATACAATCCAACACTATCAAGAGATTGACCTTGTGACTTATTAATTGTCATTGCATAGGAGACAATAATCGGAAATTGTCTCCTAATCAACTTGAATGGCCAAGGTGAATCAGAAGGTGACATAGACATTCGTGGAATGTAAAAAATGTTACCTATGTTCTTTCCAGACATGATTTTTGCCTCAATGACATGATTTGCAAATCTTGTAACAATTAATCTTGTTCCGTTGCACAACCCATCGGCTTGGTCCAAATTTCTCATTAGCATAATAGGTGTACCAACCTTCAATTTGATCCTATGATTGGGAAGCCCTGACGTTCTTAATTTACTGAGAAATTCAGGAGTTAGAACTTCATATGCTTCAGTATAACTTGAATCTGTTCTATCAATGGAATCAAAACTCAAATACTCTTTCTCTTCTCCTAAAAAAAAGTTTAAAAGCAAAACATAAATAAATTAGTAAAACTATGTTCTTATATATATATATATATATATATATATATATATATATATATATATATATATATATATATATATATATATATATATATATATATATATATATATATATATATATATATATATATATATATATATATATATATATATATATATATATATATATATATATATATTATGAATGTAATAATACAGTAAATATAAAACACATGTACCTGGTATCAAGTCTAATACATAATGATTGATTTTGTCCACAACTTCAATGGTTGAAGCAAGAATAGCCTTTCCTTGTAAGAATTCAACATCTTGATATTTTTCCAACAAATTGGGATATGTGTTTTCAACAATTGCTCTTATAGGATCATCAAAATTTGATATTAATAGCTCTTGAGGAATTTCAATATCAACCAAACCATCATTGGGTTCACAAATCTTACCATCACCCACATTTAAAATCCATTTTGAAAATCAATTATCAGCCTCCATATCCATACATATTTCAAAAGAAGAACCGATTAAATAAGCTTTGTATTCACCAAGACTAAACAAATAAAAAAAGCCAAAACTCAACCTCATATTTTAATTAAAAAAATTGAGAAATAAAATCTGAATAAAAAAAACATACCTAACAGCAAAAAATAAACAATATCATGGTTGTGTTGTTCGTCACATGCAAGCTCAAAAATCCCCTTCTGCAACTCTCAAACCTAAAGATAAAGATATCCCATTTTAGGTGTCAAGTTAAGCTTCTTTTTTTTTGGAAAAGGAGAAATAGTAAGACAACCCTGAAAACGAAAAGAATATAACATAAAATATGATATTCCAAACTACATTTCAGTTTCAACTTTCAATCACATGTTTCAATCACTCACCTTCGTCACTTACATATGTATGAATCAAATTAACGTTAAAAATTGCATTTGAAGGAAATTCTTTTATAGATCTATAACGGGTGTTGTTGGTTATTGATGTTGTTGAGATTCAGAGGTCTTGGTTGCGACCACCATTCTTATGCTTGAACGTCTGAAACAAATAAATTAACAGGTTAGGATGAGAATATTAGATGGTTGAGATTACAACGAAACGAAATTGGTAGCAACAAAGAGAGAAGAATGAAAAGAGATGGAGCGGCGCAGGAAGAAGATGAAATTAGGTAAGAAGATGAAATTAGGTTTTCTGATTTGTGTTTTAATAGAGTTGGGTGAATGAGTTATTTGTTGCATCTTGAGAAAAATAATTTCTTTGGTTGTATAGATTTACCGTTTCAAGAACTCAACATTTATGATGGTTGTTCATCTTGTGCTGCCAATTTAAATCTTGCAACAAAAAACGTGATTAGGGTTTCGTGGAATAATTAGAATTTCAAAACCCAGTGTACGTAGCAGCTATAATATGAGTGTTTTAATTTAAATTTCAAATTGAATGACCTTTGGTTTGGATGAGGGTTTTGGGAAGTGGTATGTAGCACATAATTAGGTGTGATTATAACGTGTAAATATAAACAAAATGGCATAATTGTTGTTAGTTAGAAATAATTAAAAAAAAAGTAAAAAGTGGCAGAAAAAACCATAGTGTGACACATCAGCCATATTTATTGTCAAATCAATATGATGCAAGTATTTCAGAAAGTTACAAATATACCCTTAGATTAAGACTAAATTGAAATTTACTAATTAGGGTATTATGGTAAGTTAATGGTACTTTGGTTTTTATATATTTATAATAGATATTTACTTAAATATATATTAAATTTAAATTATAAAATTATTTATACATAATTAATATCTATTCATTAATAGAATAAAATTATTTTATATATCCTCCATTCAAATTATATATGATACCATTTTTCTAGATTAATTTTTTTCATGATACAAGAGGCTAATACCAACAACATCAGGATAATTTTAGGCTTTAATCAGTTATATGTTTATTTTTATTAGTGATCTTCAAGGAAACGAGATGAATCCATCAAGATGTTGTGAATGTGAAATCACCAAGGTTTATTTGAGAGAATTTGCGAAGGAGATGGTTAAGGAGATTGAATGTGCAGTTGGGAAGAAATGGGGAGTAGAAGGAAGCCAAAAGAAGTTAGAAAAATTGAAGAAAAAACTTGTAATGGAGAACAAAACAAAAAAAACCAATGCCTGATGCTTTCACTTGGTTTATCATGGATGGTGTTTGCAATAGTGTTTTAAGTTAATGTAATAGAATTGTTAAGGTCTCAATAGTAGCAGTTAATGCAATGAAATTCTTAAGGTTATCAATAGCAATTGTTAAGGTTTAATGTAATTGAATTGGTTTTCAAGCAGTTGTTTATCAATGAAAGCACATGTTATGTGAAATTCTAGTATTCAGATCTCAGATGTCCTAAGAGATGTTGAGATACCTTTCTCTGAACAACCACACAATGACAATGTTGTACCCCAAAATTTTCCCTCCCATATTCTTCAAGAATTGCAAAGAGCATGCTTCAAAATCTCCCCAAGGGTTGCACAGTTCAAGGGCCTCCTAACAGTCAAAAATTAGGGTTTTGGTTTTGGCAAAGAAATTGAAGTTTCCAAGGGTCCAATCAAGTCCCACATGCCTACAAACAAGGTCAAGTATCCTCATACCAAGTTTCAAGACTTACAACACAAAATTGCACAGTCAAAAACCCTAATTGCCCTACAGTCAACTGCAGGGACAAAATGGTCATTTAGCAGTCAAAAGTTCAAATTTTTGGTCAACATCTCATTTTGAAGCCATAAACATCATTTGATCAATTCTTGATCATGATTCTCAAGGCTTGGCTCAAAAAGTCTCAAGATGCAAAAGTTTCCATATTTGGACAGTTGAAAAAGTCAACTGTAACTTAACCAAGGTATAACTTCCACATGGTTTATCAGAAAAATCCCATCCAAAGCTCGTTTTGGAGAGAAAGACATTTCCTACAACTCATCTTAACACTTCAAGTCCAAGAAATGCTCTCACAAAAAGTTATCAATTTCAACATTATAGGTCATTTTCAAAAGTCAACAAAAAGGGACTTTAAGTCAAAGACCATAACTTGATATTGGTAAATCAAAATGACATGGGACCAAAGGAATTGGTAAGAGGACTTCAAGACCTTTCCAAAATGTCCAAGAACATGATCAAAGCTTAAAAATTGAGCAAGATATGCCTTGTGGAAGTTGGGAAATTTTTGGGAATTTTGAAAAGTCAACTTTGCTCCAAATGCCTTAAAATTGCTAATGGGCCACATTTTCTTCCAAGATTCTTCATCCAAAGCATATGCACGACCATTTGGCCCAAAGGGGATTTATTCATCATTTTTATTTATTTATTTGAATTTTTAATTACAATTAATTCATTTAACTAAATAAAATATGGGAAGAATACTCATCCATGTTTTTTAAATCTTTTTGTGCATGGAATGCCTTCAAGATTTCGTGCATTATCTGATATGGAAAGAATCAAGTTGATTTGGACATGATTGGTATCAAAACACATGGAAAAAGATTGAAAAAATATGCCATTAAATCCAATATTTGATTCATGATTGCATTGATCTTTTGACTCAAATTTTAACCCTAATCAGTTCCCATACATATACTAATGCAAACCCTAGTGCAAGAGACCTGAAAGCTGCGCCACACTTCAAGAACAACTTTTGCAATTTTTGGTGAAAAAGTGGAAACTGAAAATTGCCTTCTAGCACGATTCAAAGGAAAATAACCACACCATTAGCTTGCCAAGGCTTCACTGAACCTAACTGCGTTCTTTTACAATCCTCACGCACCCAGAATTGGTACCTAACAGTCAAACTGTTTCATCTTTTTTTGCATAATCGTATTTCATCATTCATGCCATAATTTTAAGTTCTAATGCTTGTTTTGTACTAGTCTTATCATTCTGAAGCTAACCATATTGTTTTATTGAGTTTTGCTTGCCCATACGCGAAATCATCATGGAAGTTTGCTAGGGTTACAAAACTGTAAAATTGGGGGTTTACTTTTATGGAAAAA